ATCGCCTTCTTGCCACTTGAGCCAATCAGTGTCATAGGTATGGATGATCACATAAACTGGCCTAACCAAAGCAGAAGCAGCTTAAACCAAACTGGACTATCTGCATTGAAACTGATAATCCTGAAGGAAAGCTCATAGCAGTCTTAACAAAGCAATGAAGTTGCTCATGAGAGAGTGAATAAATCAAACCAAACCAAGCCAAGCCAAACCAAACTAAAGCAGTGCCTAGTATATGCATTGGCTAGTGAAATCATATATATATATATATATATATATATATATATATATATATATATATGAAACATGCATTTCTATTATGTGCATTTCTATTATATATATAATGAACATGCAAAAATGAAAATTCAGGGCTTTGTTGAACTTCCTTTCATGTTTTTTAGGTAAATTTTTATTTAAATTGTAAATCATTCATGGAGCATAATCACCACAATTTTATTATTGATGTGTGTTACTTAATCCCTGACTCTTTCATTTATCATCTATGTGAGTTAAGAGTTCTTTAAGACCCCAGTGTCTATTTTCTCATATATGAAATGGGAAATACAATGCTACATCCCTCAGAGGACTGTTAGGATATTAGACAGGACAAAAAAAAAAAAAAAAAAAACACTTCATAGGATGTCTATAGTATCCTGACTGTTGGTTATGTGTTAGATCTTTTTTTACTACTGTTTCACTTAGCAAGTACTTCCTGAGCACATTTCATGTGGAAAGCACTTGAAAAAGATATTCATGTAATAAAAGAAAATTAGCCTAGAATACAGAAGTCTGTGCTGATAGGGTTCAGAAAATGATATTCTCTAACTTAGTTCTCTTGAAAATCCCTCTACATTCAATAAAGTTTCTGTAATTGTTATTAGAAAGCTTGGTCCTAATACTGTAAGGGCCTAATATTGTGAGAAGATAATAACTTACCTCTGTTCTTTGTGTCTTGGATACAAGATTTTAGACAAGACGTACAGCTCATCCTACTAAATATAAGTAGATTTTATTTTATTTTATTTTATTTATTTTTTTGCGGAACTGGGGATTGAACTCAGGCCCTTGAGCTTGCCAGGGAAGTGCTTATTCCACTGAGCCATCTCCCCGGCCCCTATAAGTAGATTTTATTGCAAATTTATAGATTTTTTTCAGGGCAAGAGAAATAATATGCTTTCAAGTGTGATGGAAAATGCAGAGATTGCAGGTGCACTGGATTGGCTCTCAGGTTACACTTACATGATAAAGTGAGTCTTTCAAGGAACATCCTTTCCTTCCTTAAAAAAAAATCACCCTAAAATAACTCCTGGGGGCTGGGGAGATAGCTCAGTGGAATAAGTGCTTGCCTGGCAAGCACAAGTTCCTGGGATTGGTCCCTGGTTCAAAAAAAAAAAAAAAAAAAAAAAAAAAAAAAAAAAAAAAAAGCCCTTTCCTTCCTTAGAGGTCATTCATTGTTCTTGTAAAAGTAAAATTAGCTGTGCTGACCCACTTCGGGGGAAAAGATCTCTGCTCACTAGGTGCCTGATTTCCAACTTATTTTGAGACCTTGAGTTTTTCTGGACCCTCACCTATGCTCTGAACTTTAGCAATATGCTCAGAAGACTTTTTCGTGGGTGAGTGACTGAAACCACTTGATAGCTCCAAAACCATTTGATATCCACTCCCCTCCCACCCCCGAAGTTGCACATGTCCAAAGGGTCGGTCACTGGGTGAGGTGACTTGGAAATAGGTTTTGTAATCCCTGACTCCTCCCTTCTCTCCCTTCCCCTGGCTACCAGGTAGTGAGCAACTTTCCTCCACCATCTGGTGATTGGAAAGTGAGTAATTTAACAGAGGTACCAGTTTTGGCCATGGGGACATTGCTGTGACTGCACCTGACCATGTGGTTCAGAAGCCTTTGGAAATTTTGTGGAAAAGAGGGGTAGAGAAGGCATAGAATGTTGTGAGCAGTGTTTGATGCTCAACTCTTGTTAGAACTCAGAAGATGACAATACTTTGAATCATGAGGCCAGGATCAGGAAGTTTCAGTTGGGAACAAGTGGTTCATTTAGTGTCAGACTGGCAGCCATATGGCTGGAAATTTGTCCAAATTGTTTCCATGTCCCCAGACTTTGATGAAAACAGAGATTAAGAATGAAAGACTAATTAATCAGAGGTCATTTCAAGGCAGTCTAATGTTCAGGCTGTGGCATGGGTACTACTGGCTGCTTTTAGCCAGATTTATAGTGAGAGCCAGGAGGATAAACAGAGTAAAAAATGTGGAAAATCTTCTTGGTGGCCAAAAAGGAGCTGCTGATAAAGATGGGTTTGATAAAATCTTGGATGCTCAAAAGATTAGTATTAATTAAAAGCTAAGTGCTTTAATAGGGACAAGAAAAATGATGTCTTTGGGCATCTCAGAAATCATCAAGCTCTCACCCATGACATGCTCAAGAGTTCCACAGTGTAATCCTTCCTTTTGACAAGAAGATCCCAGAAACACCAGCTTATTCAGGATTGTCTAGAGAAGTAAATCCCTGAGTTTAGCTACTCAGGCACTGGGAGGTCACTGCAGCTATGATCCAAAGGGGCCTGGCTACCTCTCAAGCTTCTAATCAATCTTGATTGGTTAGAATAATGTCTAATTAATCATGTCAGAGTACTGTCTCGATGGACGTTACTGACATAATGCTTGTTCTGTCTGCATGTAGAATGTAAGAGTTACGGGTTAGTGGAGGCTTCCACCAGATTTCACAGGAAGATTTGAGAGCCAAAAATAAGTGACAGAGTCACACAGTCCCTTCCAGAAGCTCATGAGAAGGCAATGCATGAAGCTGTGAGTGAAGTCAGTGGTACAGTGGAGAACTTAGGAAGTTGCAGATGCTGAGAACGTGGAAGGAGGAAAAGCCAAGAGGCCACATGAGCTGCAACCAGCAATGCTGTCATGAGTGGGGTCTACTCAAACATGTTCTGTCAACCTGCTCCAGGTGCTGGACATGTAGCTCTAGAATTTAATCTATCCCTTGGGGCCGGGAAGATGGCTTAGTAGCTTCCCTGGCAAGCACAAGGGCCTGAGTTCAATCCCTGGTTCCTCCAAAATAAATAAATAAATAAATAAATAAATAAATAAATAAATAAATAAATAAAAATATATCCCCTGCTGAGTTTCAGTCTTACTTTGATCTAATTTCTGTTTCTTCTTTTCAGAATGGGAAAGCTTTTTCATTGTATGTTGGATGTGTTGACCTGTCCTTTTTTATTTTTACAGCTAAGTTTGCCTTGAGTCTCACAGGAGACTTGGATTTTTCAGCAATGCTGGAACTCCTAAGTCCTGGCTAACTCATGGATGGATTAAGTGCATTTTGCACAGCAACATAGATGAGTCTTTAGGGTAACTGGGGGTGGAGTGCTATTGTTAAGATTTATAAAAGCCCCACAAAACTCTTATGTTTAGAGGTGAGACCTGATCTAAAAGGGAAGCTCACTGGGGGAAAAATTGGGGTGTATTCTTCTAGTGGGTTGCAAGAACCCACTCTCAGCTTCCTGTTATGTGTTGAAAAGCTTTCTTCTGCCATCCCTTTGTACCATGCTGTTTGTCTTGAGCCATACATCCACGAACCAAATCCACTGAAAACGTGGGCCAAAAATGAACTCCTGTCAATTGCAGGCTTGTGCTTGTGTCCTAGCACTAGGAAAGTGACTACTGCAGTTCATGTTTGAGAAAGCGAAGGAAAAAAAGGAGTAATCTAATGGCTTGTCTTTTATGTAGCTCACTGCCATCTGTCTCCAGGCATGGCAATGTCTAACTTTCTATTTAACAGAGTGATACACAAAACAGGCATATGGTTGAAAAGCATATGGTGGAGAAAAAACTAGGCATATGACCATTAATGCTGTATATAAATTTCCAATTAGAACTTCCCCAATGAATCATGATAGGTTACAATGAAATTATATCTGTTTGGTTTACCTGTCCCAGTAATCTCATCCCAGAGCAAAAGCCCCCATGTGTGTGGGGGCCTCCTACAATCAAGACAATCCCTTGATCCCATGGTAACCAAAGGACCCAGTCACCTTTTTTTATGGTATGAGCAAACAAGCTTGTAGACATGGTAGGCATTACTAAAATGACATTCTTTTTGGTCAGAATAGAAATTAGTAGAGGATGGAACTGTCACCAATCGGGGTCCAAAGAGGAATGCTAAAGAGCAGATGGGGACTCAACTTGTTCCAGATTGGTTCTTCAGTATTTTCACAGTAAAGTTTCTTAACTCATTAGAGAGAGAGGCATAGGCAGTCTTATTAGGCAGGTTTATAAAGTAAGAGGAAAAAGGGAATGATGCTTCAGCTTGAGGAGGTGAAAGAGGCACAGTTCTGATGGAAGGGATCAGATCGGGCCTTTAAGAAAAAAATAAACCCAGCTAATGTGGATTAGTGGACATGGGCTAACCTGGTGCATCATTGACATGGCTCTGGAAAAGTCCTTCTCATTTAATCCAGTCCCATAAGATGAGTATTTCTGCTTGAGAAGTCTCAGTTTTGTGTAAGCCTTGCTGGACTTCAAGGTGACCACAGGTCTAGATCAACAGCTGGAGACTTCTGGGTATCATGGTAGTTGAGTATTCCTGTATATCTCTTATTTGGATTTCCTCAGTGTTGAAAGTGGAGGTGAGGATTATGTAATTTAGGGCTCAGCGATTTTGGAGCTTTTAGGAGACATTCCCTTAATAATTCATATTCCTATAGGCAGAGTTTAGAAGATGCAAGGTGACAAAGGAGACCCATACAAAATAAAGGCCCACCTTTGTCTTATTTTTAGTTGCTTTTGGGTATTTATAGGTTCACATGAAGTCATTATATTTTGCTTTAGCAAAAGCAACATTTTAAGTCTTTGATAGCCTCAGAAGACAGCACAAATCATATTGGGTTGTTTATTTTTGCCTTGAGTACTGAGGACTGAACTCTGGGCACTCACAGTGAGATACATGCCCAACATATTTTCTTTTTGAATTTTTTATTTCAACACAGGGCCTTGCTAAGTTACTAAGTTGTCTGAACTTGTGATCTTTCTGATTCACCCTTCCAGAGTGCTGGGATGACAGCTATGAATTCTGCAAGCGACACGTATTTTTAATGAGCAAGAAGTAAAGGGCCAAGAAGTTATTTTGTCCTTTAATGGTGGCCTCTGTGTTGAACAAACCTAAAAGACCAAACTGCAGTAGCTCTAGAACATTCAGTCTGAGGATATGCCATTCTGCTTATATGTGAGAATCCTTCCAGAGATGAGAAAAAAAAAATGTCAGCTGGGATAGAACACCAGCAGGCACAGTGGTACTGTGGCTCAGAAATTTAATTCGCTCAATGATTCTGGAGCAGACAGCTACATTTATGTTTATGTGGGAAAGACAGCCTTTGCCATTTTTGTCACTCAGTGCTGTTTTCAGAGAGAAGTAACATTTTGCCAAAAACTTCTGTTCATGAACCAAACTGTATGCAAAGAAAGACATTCTTGAATCAAGGTATTACTGTGTTCTTATTGATACCAATTTTGGAAACAATACTGACATTCAGTAACGCTCCTATAGGACTGAGGGTCGACATAGTGGTGAGTTTCAGTGTTCAGAATGTCCATATTGGGAGTATAGCTCAGTGGTAGAGCATTTGACCACAGAACGTCCATATTACAATGAACCTTGAAAACTACTTTGGAAATGGAGGATGGTAAAGGATAACTTTTTGTGAGCATCACAGGATGGTCACAAACATGTCCACTGGCATCAAATAACACCCCTGGAAGGAAGGTGTTTTATCCACACCACAGATAAAAACACTGACACGGAGGGAGGCTGATTGATTGTAGGACCAAGGCTAGCCCAGGGCTCTGTCCACCACATCAGCCTGTCTCTCTTGCTATTAAAAATTTCTCAAAACATAAGAAATTGAAAGACTTGCTCAAGGATGGAAGAGGGGGAATGAATGAAAACATGGCATCCCAAGGTCTTTAGGACTACGGATGAAAAATAGAACCTCAGGAGGGCTGGATGAAGTCCAGCATTCTGTGAATGTGTGTGATGGCAAAGCAAATCTCTAGCCAGATATAAAAGCTTGAAAAAGAAAGCACAAAGGCACATTCCTGAGATGCTTGTCTTTATGACCTTGACCATCACCCTGAAGGCAGGCTGCGAAGAAGGGAGGCAGGTGACTGGGGCTTGGCAAATTGGCTGTGAGCATGACCTGTCAATGATGGACTTCTTGGAAATGGGCAGAAAAATAACTCCCGAAGTTCTGCTCCAAGCAGGTTTTTGTGACAGCAAATCTCATAGGCTTCCGATGGCGCTAATAGCCCACTGCTGTGTGTGCGCCAGAGCTTCATCACCACCGGCCAGGTTGGCCTGAGGAGTGGGAGACGTGAAAGATGGCTCCGATTCCCTTGGCGTCCACTGGGCGCTCTTGCACAGTGATCTGCTCTTGCCTTGCAGAGGGGGCTTCTTCCTTTATATTTCATTGGCCCAAACTTGCTCTGCACACTATGTTTCTTTTCCTACCTTTAATAGAAGTAAAACCCTGCTACATTTCATGCTTCCTTTGTCCAGTTCTTTGTTTAAGACAAGAAGAACCTAGAAAAAAGCCAGAAACACCCCAGAATCTGGTAACAGCGGTATGTCAACTCAAGGTTCATGACATCTCCAGCCAGGTCCCAGCAGCAGCCTAGAAGGGGGATCTTCCTCTCCTCCCTCCACGCCTGCCTCATGTCCCTTTCTCCTTGGAATCCATGTACGTTCTCATGGGGTGGTCTTGCCAGGGGGGCAAGCAGGACAGGGTCTCGGCCACTTCCTTCTGGATAGGCCAGCCCCAGGACTGAAAGAAAGGTACCAGATTCTTGTGCACTGCTTCCGAGAACTTCTTCATCCATAGGTTCATCTTGCCGTCTTTATCTTTGGGGAGGCCAGAGAGGGTCTGGTAGTCAGCGAAGAGCTGGGTGAATGGCTCCCACCCAAAAGCCTCCTGGAGCTGAAAGAAGATGGGGAAATGAGCTTTCAGGTTTGCTAATGTAGCTGCAATATGCATGCTGGTAAGTGTATTTATTTTACAGTGAGTAATTTCTTTCCCTTCATCATTAGTTTCTCTCCTGTTATTTGCCTCTGTCTCCCCATCCAACAACTATATATGCATTCACCCTACTGGTTCACTTAATCTTCTCCTCATGAAAACATATAACCTCAATCTAGTAGTGAGGCTCATGAAAACTTAAGGTCTGAAAGGGTAAGAATTCAATACAGAACAATCACCATTATCTTTAATTTTTAAAAGAATCCCCAGCTTATAAGTGTTTGCCTTAACATCAGGATAGATTTAGTCTTACTGAGATGAGAATCCCTCATATCCTACATATGCAGCCTATTCGGAGTCCACAAGCTAGCAGACTGTAACATTTTCCAGAACAATAATCTCAGTGTCTGTCTGTCTGTTTCTCTCTCTCTCTCTCTCTCTCTCTCTCTCTCTCTCTCTCTCTCTCTCTCTCTGTATTTGGCACAGGGTGTCACTACACAGCTTGAACTTGTAGTGATCCTCCTGTTTTCAGCCTTCTCAGTGCTAGGATTACAGGCATGTGCCACTACACCCTGTCTCGGAGGCCAGCTCAGCACACCTGGAGGCAGGGCCGGCATGGCAATGTGGTACCAAGGATCGAACCCTGGTGCCTGCGCTTGTCTAAGCAGCTGCTTAGTCCACTGACCTATCTCAGTGGCCCTTCATTATTTCTTTAATATCCATCTCAGGCCTTGCAGTATCTGAAAAATACTATATTATTGTGTAGAACACTCTTTTAGGGGGAGGGGTGGAGAGGAATTGGAAATGTTTTAAGGGCCAGGGAGACAGCTCAGTGGAATAAGTGCTTGTCTTACAAGCTCAGGGGCCTGAGTTTGATCTCTGATACCACCAAAAAAAGAAAAATAAAGAAAGATCTTAAGGATTTCTGAATGAGCATGATTCCTGCTTTATAGAGAAACACTACAGAATTTTTGAATTAGCAGAAATATGAGTGTTTCCCAAACCCATTCATTCTTCTACAGGTAAGAAAGAAATATAAATCCAGGCTAGAAAGGCCCAAGGACAGGTCAAATGTGATAGCAAGCATCCCTCAGAATCTCGGAGTCTCATGATCTTCATCATCTTGCTGTTCTGGCTCCTGGTAGCTTATTAATTAATGTATCAGCAAATTAAACATCTATCAGTTATATCACATTCATGGGCTGTCTGCTATGTGCCAAACATTGTGTCAAGCCAAAAAATAAAAAAGATGTGGTGGTTGTGTCCCTCAGGGGGTACAGATCAGTGGGAGGGATAGAGATGTGAACAGACAAATGGCTCAAAAGGCCGGCTTGCTCAGGACTTGGTGTCCAGGAAGCGGACAGCTGAGGTGAGCTCTGACAGGTGGCTGCACAGGTCACAGGCCAGCTGTTCAAGCCTGTTTCAGCAGCAGGAGGGAGGTGGGGGAAGCTCAGCACCGGAAACAGCCAAATGCGTTGGGGAGTGTAAGTGGCTTGGTCTATTGGGGGGAAACTGAGGGGTAGGAAATCAGAAAACACGAAGACGGATGCCGGCCCAAAGTCCTCTATAGATCGCCAAGCAGCTTCTAATTCTTCCTTTACGTACATGAAAAAGAATAATTCAAGAGTTTTAAAGAAGGACACTTCACTTTAGCTTGGGAGCGGTACACAGGAAGGATGCGGGGGGATTGAGGCAAAATTGTGCAGCACTTAGGAGGGAGTTATTGGATGAGGCCAGGATGAGAGTAGCAAGAGTGTGCTAAAGCGACAGCCCAGGGATGATGAAGGAAGAGCTGTAGTAGGTGGAGGGAGGGGCCTGCGTCCTGAAACTGAGACTGCGAGACGTTAGCGGGTCTTTCCACAGCCCTTGAGAACCGAGGCACAGGGCTTCACCGCAAGTGGTAAGTGGACAGGGCCAAGTGAGAGCTGTGACTCACACTGCCATGCATGGCCGCCCTTCACCTCTGCTGTCCTGCAGACCCTCAGGCTGGTTCTGTGAGAAGAGGAGGAGCATGCAGGGCAGAGCTGCTGGCTGACTGGGACTATCTCATGTTTGCTCTTCAGAAAATTAGTGATGGAAAAGAATCAAAACAGGGCATGGAAGCACAAAGGCCTGGGACTTGCTCTTCACTCCAGATTTCAAGTTCTAGGCCACTGCTGCAATAGGTGCTACTGCATAGGCTGCTTAAATTACTTAGCAGGAGCTCCGTGACACGTGGGCCACACAACACCTACCAATGGGGTTGTGGTAGACACCGCAGGGAATGCAACAAGGAGTAGCTTGGACCACGCAAAAACGCTGCAGGTGAAAGCAAGATCTGGGGAGGGAAATTTCTTTTAAAAATATTTTGGATTCACGCTGGCCAGATAGCTCAGCGGACTAAAGCGCCTGCTTAGGCAGATGCAGGGACGAGGGTTGGATCCCCCAGCATGCAGTGAGATGGCAACTGACCCTGGGTGTGGTGGCGCATGCCCGAAATCCCAGCACTTGGGAGGCTAGAAACAGAAGAATCATTACAACTCTGATCTGTGTAGTGAGACCCTGTAGACCCCGTACTAAATACATAAAAAAAAAGAAAAAGAAAGTTTGGGTTCAAGTGGGGTGATGGAAGTCTGAGAACCTTGTTAGACTTACTTCCTACAATGTCTTTTTAGAATGCGACCGTCCTACATCATGTCCCTTCATCATAAAGGGAAGTAACACTTGATCCAAAAGCGAGGCAGGGAAAACCAAAACAAAGAGTACAGAATGCATATTAGGAAACCAAAGACAAAACCAGTGAATGGAAGAGTTGTGCCTCAACCTCAGAGCTCTGCTCTTAATCAGTATGCCAGATAATATAGATAAATAGTTTTGTTTTGTTTTTTTTCCTTTCATTTCTTCTTACACTGCAAAATTACAGGGGGCAGGTGTCATTCTCTGATCATACAGGGGGCAAACTTAGAAACACACCATGCAGCCAGATTTGCCACGCCCCCGGAGGTGGCGATCCCAGGCTGGTGGTGACGCAGAGGAGGGGGTGAGAACCTGTGAACAAGGTGCTGCTGACCGTGGGCTCTGGGAGCCTCTCACTCCAACTCTCTGCCTTGTACCTGTAGATATGTTTCCAGAGCCGTCCACACGTTCCAGTCACACAAAGGCCCTCCCTTTTGCAGATGCACTTTGATCCTCTTCTCTCGTTCAGGAGGGCTCAGGGCAGGGTGTGCCTGCGCCCTGGGGATACCCAGGACTGTCTCATGCACATAGACTGACCAGAGGTTGCAGGTGGCCTCGGTGGTGTGTGGAGGGAACTCCCACCCCGGCCGCTGCTGGTTGTGGCCCAGCTCGTGGACGGCTCCCCACACGCCTCTGCTTCTCATGCCCGTCTCATTAAGGAGCTCCTGCGCAGACTCCAGGTGGCACATGATGGGGTACCCTGAGTGCATCCAGCCTAGACACAGAAGGGAGAGATGGAACACAGCGCCCGGAGCCTCCCCAGCCCTCTCTCTCCTCTTCTTCTCCACTGTGGAGCTTGTCCTCGGCATTCTAGGTGTCCCAGTGATTCCAGGATCTGTGTTGGTTGCAAAGCAAGCAGCCTTCTTGCTGTGTCTGCCTCCCTTCCACTCTCACCCACCTGAGCTGTTCCCGCTCACTCTGGCTGGGAAGGACACAGCCACGCTTTACGGAGTCATCCTCATTGGCATTCGATGCCCACGAGCTTCTCTGCATGTGAGTTTGATGCTACGCCCTGGGCTTGGACCTACGATCTGCGAAGCTTAGGTAGCATCAGATTTTCTTCTCTTATCAAACCACTGTTCTCCAGATTGGCATGCAATGACAGAAATAGCTTTTTTTTTTTCTTAAAGAACAGTAGGGTCCTGGAGTGGGAACTGCCATTCCTGACTTCTCTATGTCCCTCTTTCCACTAAAGCTCTCAGTACTTCACACAAGTCTCCTTACTCCTTTGACCTCTTCATTTGCAACTCTGACCTACGCGTCAAGGAAACAGCTCCTTTTGTATGGTGTCCTTGAAACGACCCTCACTGATAGCTGTGACCTCACCAGCAATTTTCTGAGACTGTCCCAACATCTTGTGAAATCTCGCTTTGTAGGCATCCACAATTTTTCTTTCACCTTTAAACGTCTTTCAGCCCTATCGCAGTTTCTACCTTTCAGGTCCCTTTTCCCTTATTTATAAAATTTTGCTTCAAACATCTTGGACAGTAAAATGAAGGCAACATAACAAATAAATGGTATCTCCTGACCAGCAGCATTCCCTAAGCGAACGTACCAACCGCGATCTGCACGTCAGCAACAATCCTCTCAGGTCTGAGAAAAGGAAAAGGCCGCGCTGCCAGCCTGGCTATCGCCCGCATCATCTCGTCCCAGAGGTGGAGCAGAGGGGCTGGATCTGTCAAGGACTTGAGGTCTGTAGTTGGCACCATCAGGACGATGTTGTCTGTGGCCAGCTCTCCCCAAGGGGCTGGGCTCCCCTCGATACGGCTTCTCCACTCCTCCTGAGATGTTTTCCCTGGGGATAAACACCATGCAAACTGCCACCCACTTCCCCAACTTTCATTGGCCTGAAAAATAATACATTTTCAAGTCAAAGAGAACACAGAACTAATGAACTTCTGCCTCACAGTTTGAAAGATAAGCACCCAGACCCCTCTCTCTGTTCTGCCCTGAAGTCTCCATACCCACAGGGCGCTTCATACCTCCTGTCTGTGTGTCCACTTCTAATCGCTCTTGTTCTTCTGTGGCCCTTCTCCCTGTCCTTCCCTCCCACAGGGACAAAAGTCTCTGGGATGTGGGGGTGAGACTGTCTCTGTGTGGAGGGGGCTAGACATGAAACTGTAGCCCTTCTCTCTTACTACAGATTCGAATTCACTCACCCAGCTTGTAATACGGGGCGGGCACAGCCCTCTTGAGGGTGACAGGCACAGGACCCAGCTGGCTGCCTTTGGGCACGATGAGGTAGACCAGGCCACCCCACAGGCAGGAGACCAGCCGTTGGCTCCTGTCCATACAGCACCGGTGAGTCACCACAGGGGCTCGAGACAGCTTGCTGGCTGAGGTCAGGTCATCGGTGTGGCAGCCAATCTGTATCTGGGTGGGGGATTCCACTGTGTGTCAGGGCACAGGAGTTCCTGTGGTGTGTGGGTGGGCTGTGGATGGGGACGTGCGGGGAGAAGGAAGGGAACATGAAACTCAGCATCCCTTTTCCAAGAGCAACGCCCAGCGACCTATGAAGGAACACTCCAAAGCACGTGGACTAACAGTACATGAAGTCCATGAGACTTATCTGTAGGGATTTAAACAGCTCCAAGTGGGTCTCCTCTGAGACACCAGGCATAACTCCAGGCTCACACCGAGTAGTGATTTATGGCGGCTTTTTCTGAGGTGGACTCGTGCACTGTTACATGAGGCTTAAAAAGCGTGGCAACCCCAGCGTTGGGAATGAACTAACGAATCCTGGGCTGGCTCACCAGTACACAGGGAACCTGTCCTGGGGCAGCAAAATCTGACCTCAGGGGCACAAGACAGACACTGTCTCTTCCTGTTTTGCCTGTACCTGGGTCATGTTTCTTCGGTTTGATGTTAGTGAGCTCTAGAGAGAATGCTGAGACAGAGGGGCCCTAAGTATAGTGGAAGTTACTATCAGAGTTAAGGAAGCAGAGGAATTTAAAGTCTATATGTAGGGCATTCTTTTGTGGGTGATGGGATTAAAGTGCCCTTTAGTGTCAGGGCAAAGAACCAGAACTCAGAAACCTGTGCCACCAGGAAAATGGGGGGCAATGGGCATTTAACGGGTACACTTCCTCATTTCTATGGTTAGATAAAATCACCACAATCAGGAATCAGAAAGCTCAGGATCCCGCTCTCTGGGGCTGACTTTAGTAGCTGAGACTTTCAGCCGCTCGGGCTCTCTGAGATTTAGTTCCTTCGACCGTAGAATCCAGCGAGGCAGCCTCATCCCTCTTCCCACTCCTGGTAGCACTGCTGGGAGCTGGCCGGACACAGTGTCTGAGGAGACCAGCTTCGTGTTTGGGGAAGACCCGGCTGGGGTCGGCCTTACCGTGAGGCCAGCAGAGGCGGCAGCTTCCGGCAGGCAGACTTCAACGTTGTGCCCTTCTGGGAGGTAGAGCCCAGTGCTTACCCAGGAATCACTGTCACCTGCCAGGTCACAGAGAGAGCCATGTTCTTTGCTAATGCTTGACCCCAGCCCGTGCAGCCTTCCCAACCCCTTCCTCAGGAACAGCTGCTCTGCTTTGCCCCACTCATCACACTGCCTGGACTCAGCCCTCCTGAACCTTAAGCAGAACCCCACAGTCCATCTTCTTGAAAGTCCCTGATAAAGCATAAAGCCAGCCCTCCTGAGGGCCAGCACCTCCACGGGCCTGCAAAATAGGCCAATCCCACCTTTCCTACACCCTGTGCTACTCAGGGCCCTTTCTGCTCCTTCCATACCTCGGTTGGTCCCATCAATCTCCACAGTGATAGGATCTTCGGAGAGACACCGCCCAGAGGAACAGGTCCGAGTGCCGAGCCCCGGGCCCAGCTGGGAGCAGTCAGTCCCAGAATGCGCGAGCTCCGTGGCCAAGCAGAGCATCGCAGCCTCGTAGGAATCGCTGGCCACTGGGTTTTCCCGGCTGACGGCTGGGAGGCCTGATTGTCGCAGCATCTTCCGCAGGAACCGGTGCAATGACGCATAAGCTGGGACTCCCTCTGCACGTATCTGGAGGAAGCCTGCGCCATCGACTCTCAGCTTTGCCAGCCAGTTCTTTTCCAAGTTCCCATCTCCTTGGTTCAACACAGCCCGGAATTCAGACAGCGCCTTGCGGAGGTGGTAGCGTCTCATCTCAGGAGTAGGAACAGGAAAACAGCTTGGGCTGAGGGTCTGAGGCAGGATGCTGAGGCCAAAGCAGTTGAGGATGACATTGCCAGGAAAAGCGGCCAGAGCTGAGCGACCTGGGTTCTGGGAGGCCCACCACCAGGCCTGACCGCCAATCAGCAAGCCCCCACCCTCGGCCACAAACTCGTGCAGCCCTTTGGCCTCCTGGGCACTGTACGCAGCGCAGCAGTACACACTCAAGTCATGGGTCAGATGAGACACCAGGCTGCGTCCCAGGCCATGCTCCAACAGTAGGGGAGGCAGAGTTTTCAGACTTGTGTTCACCCCAACTTTGCCTGTGTGACCTCTGGCGAGCCAGCGGACAGCATTGAACAGAAAGGGTCCTAACTTAGGAGCACAGAGCATGCCCTCGTGGGCAGCCAGGACCACTCGGCCACGGCCATAGCGGGCCGCTGCCAAGAAGCAGGCGAGGGAGGCATCGAGTCCCACCGGGAAGGCCAACGCCCCGTGCACCAGCAGCTGCGAGGGGACGCCACCGGTCTTGATGTCCAGCTCAGAGATCCCTTCCAGGAGCTGCTGCTCCTCCTGCTGGAGCTCCTCCCAACACCTGCGGAGGAGATGGGCAAAAAAGGGCCGGTCAAACAGCTCAGAGGATTAAAAGTCCCTGTGAGCAGGCGCAGAGGCTGGGGGCTCGATTCCCGGGCCTGCCGTGCTGGCCCCTCCCCCGGGGCACACTGAGACTGCAATAGAGACTGGGCGTGGTGGCATACACCTGTAATCTGAGATCTTGGGAGGCTGTAAACAGGTGGATCACTACGAGTCTGATCTAGTAGTAAGACCCTGAACACCCTGTAGAACTTTCCCTAAAATACAAAGAAAGGAAGAAAGAAAGAAAGAAGGAAAGAAAGAAAGAAAGAAAACTCCTGCAGCCAGTTCATGAGTGCCCAGCGCAGCTCAGTGAGGAGAAAGAACACACAGCTAAGGTCAGGCTTCCTAGCACTTGGGATTTCAGTGTGTAGTGTGAATTATTTGGCTAAGTGTGACATGTATTTTCCACCTTCTTACAGCTGATCACGTAGCCCTGGTTAAAATGCTGTGCTTGATGCATAAAACGCTGGGCCTTTCCACAACCGTGCTTGTCACAGATTCAGACAGGGAGACAGTAGCTTTATCTTCGTGTCTTAAAATCCACATTATTCAAATAAAGACTTCAGGAATCCCTCCCCTTTAGTCAGTTAACTGTTGAGCATTCTGGCTTGGATTTTGTTTTTTAACACAACACACAAGTAAACTGAGAAAAACTTTTTTTGTTTTTGAGACAGAGTCTCACTATACAGTTCGGGCTGGCCTTGTGCTCACTTTTGTAGCTCCCAGGATGGTCTCAAACTCCCCTTGTTTCAACCTACCAAGTGCTGGGATTACAGGTGTGCGCTACCATGTCTGGGGTTCCGGGGTCAGCATGGCATGTGCGGCTGGGGATCAAACGCAGGTCCTTGGGCTTGCCAGGTAAGTGCTTATGCCTCTGAGTTATCTCCCCAGCTCCTATTGCACCATTTCTATGGCAAGCAATTCTGAACATCAGCCTGTGTTTTCCTAGGGCTACCTATGTACTCGGGACATGTAACTAAATTGCTTCTTACTGTACTTGAAGATTTATAAAGACACATACTTCTCTAATGTACAATGTATGCATGTATGGAAATCCTACAGTGCAATTAATTAATTTGTACAATCAATATGTGTTGTTAACCACAGAACAAGATATAATTTAAATGTAAAGAATTATTCCCACTGCATACTTAGGGAATTCATTCAAATAAAACTATATAAAATAATAATTATTTTAAAAAATACTCAAATCTAAAAAAAATAAAAATATTCAAGTCTGATGCAAGAGCACCTATTACTTTTTTGAGAAGTAATCAAAATATAATGAATTTAGAAAAGCTGCTCTGTTCCAAAATTTTTAAAACAAATTTCAGATTCATTAAATGTGAAACAAGGAAAATTGGCTAAATAAACTGTGGTTCATCATTCAATGCATACTGTATAATAACCAAAATAATTATTAGGTCATATTGGAAAAGTTTTAATGGAAAAATTTGAAAACTAGAATCTGACACACTGTTCTCTAAATAAGTTGAATTAAAAAAAAACACACAACAAAACAGAGGGCCAGCAAGATAGCTCAGTGGACTAAGCGCCTGCTTAGACAAGCACAGGCACCAGGGTTCGATCCCCAGTACCTCATGCCATGCCAGCCCTGCCCCAGGTGTGCTGAGCTAGGCACAGAGTCCAGGTGTGGTGGCGCACACATGCCATCCCAGCACTGGAGAGGCTGAAAACAGGAGGGGCACTATGAGTCCAAGATGCATAGTGAGACCCTGCATCAAACACATAAATGAAAGAAAGAAAGAGAAACACACAGAATCAGACATAGAAACAGGATCTGAACCATACTTATCAAATTATCTTCAGTAAACATCTTCGGCTAGTGGGGTTATGAGATATTTTAATTACCTTTATAAAACTTCATTGGCTCAATGTTTAAAATCAAATGCTTCTTTTAAATAAAAAACTGTTGAAATATTATTGAAAAAAGTTTCTCCTAATGGGATACTTTCCCCGTAATTCATTTGCAGCATGCAAGTGAGTAGACAGATGTTGGGGCTGTGGAGAGGGCTCAGTAGAATAAGCGCTTCCCTGGCAAGCGCAAGAGCCTGAGTTCAATCCCTGGTTCCGCCAAGAAAACAATGAGTAGACAGATGCTATGTCTTACTTTTGCTGTTGAGTTTGCAAAATAGCAGGGCAACTGTCCTGCGGGTTCAGCGGTCTGACAAGTGTGTGGCTTGTCGCCTTCTGTAGAGACCCAGTTGTATTTTTTTTTCTTGTATTTTAGGCAGGGTCTACAGGGTGTTCAGGGTCTCACTACCAGATCAGACTCGTAGTGATCCGCCTGTTTACAGCCTCCCAAGAGCTGGGATTACAGGTGCACACCACCACACAGAGTCTCAATTGCTGTCTCGGCATGCTTTGGGGGCGAGGCTGGCGTGGCAGGCCCGGGGATTGAACCATCAGCCTCTGCGCCTGTTTACAGGGGCTTTAATCTGCTGAGCTATTTGGCCGGCCCTCCCAGATGTATTCTGGGGGACAGGGACACTGAGCCAAAGGCTTGCTACGAAGACATTCCGTTCTAAGTGCCACTCCCGTATTTCTTGGCAGCTACTGGGAGCGAGTCTCAGCTTGTGGTAGGAAGCCTTCAATACGAAGAGCAGCGCTGAAAGAACTGTGTCATCTGAGGGCTCACAGTCTGGTGCCTGTAAATGTATCTAACTGCACTTAACTGGTGAGTAGGGCAGGGCAGGGGCTCTGGATTTGGACAGGACAGGGGTGACACTTAGACTTCTGGCAGCACTGCCAGGTAATCTTCTGAAAAGTACTCTCCCTCTCCAAGTCTGTATTTGCTCACGTACTTCTGGGAGTGTTTAACAGTACTAACAAGTAAGCTAGTACAGTGCCTGACACCCAGCACATCCTTTAACGCATTAGAGAGTATTTTACATACACATAAAACAGGGCCTTTAATACCTAATGGTTATTCGGCTGGGGAGATAGCTCAGTGATCTAAGTACCTGCCTGGCAAGCCCAAGGACTTGAGTTCGATTCCCAGTACCACATGCTGTGCAGGACCCAAAACCGGGCTTGGCGATGCACTCCTGTAATCCCACCACTGGGGAGGCTGAAGCAGGAGGATCACTACAAGTCTGAACTGCACAGCAAGACCTTGTATCAAAAAATAAATACAATGGAAAATACTTAATAGTCATTGATTTGGGTTGAATTGTATTCCTTAGAAAAATCTATTTTTGAAGTTCTAATCCTCAATACCTGAGAACATGGACCTTATATTATTAATTACTATGCTTTGATTTGTTTTCTGAGACAGGGTCTCACTACATACTTCCGACTGGCCTTGACTCCAGTATGTAGCCTAGACTGGACTCAAACTCACAGCGATCTTCCTGCCTCGGCCTTCTAAGCACTAAGACTGCAGGAGGGCACCACCACACCCGGTTTGAACCTTGTTTTGAAATCAGATCGCGGCCCAGTGAGGACAAAGTTACACTGGAGTGAGTGGACTGCTAACTCTACATAGCTGGTGTCCCGGTGAGACTTAGATACACACACAGAGGCAGAACACTGCGTCAGGCAGGCAGACACGGGGGCGCTGCACAGCTGAAAAACAGCAAGGCAAGGATACCAGCAAAACCTTAGAAGCTGGGAGAGAGGCACGGAGGGGATTCTGCGACAGCGCTCAGAATGGGCTGACCTAGACGCATGCGCACAACATGGTGTCCGATTTCTAGCTTCTATGACCTTAAGATGCGAAGGATTTGTTGCTTGAGCCACTCGGATGTTTTCACAGCGCCTGGGAAGCTGAACAGGTCCTTGGCCAATGCCAACCGCTGGAGAGTATCACAGTCAAACATTCGACGCCCGGCTCCTTAAGCCACAATCTTTTCATTCTGTCAAATCTGGTGGACAGAACAATTCCACCATCTGCCTTATTTCACAGAACTTTTATCTGGAAACTATGCGTATGGGTTGTATGAAACACACAACTGGAAAAACAGAACTGAGTTGCTTATAATCGGAAAGTCCTTGAACCAAGACCGCTGTGCTGAACAGCATTGGACTGAGGGTAGAACAACGTCCACTCTTCAAGAGTTTCATGAGCCTGCGCTACCGGTGTTTACGGTAAGAGCAGCGCCTTACACGTCATGGACGTCACAGCCTGCATAGTGCATACGGATAAGGAGCTTTGGATGATCTGAAGTGAAATAATCTCCCATACTGTGTGTTGGTAGAAAGCAGCCAATGTCTTTGGATTTGTTTTTGAATATTAAAGTAATTGGAGCACTGGCCTCAGTTGCGTAAGCACAGGGGTGCGCTTAGCCCTGCCCTTGGGGACAGGACAAGAGAGAGTCTTGCTTTTGGTTTTAGAGCTGGCCTTTCCCTGCACTATACAAACAAGGTGGTGCAGAGAACTATTTTTTTTTTCTTTCAGCCTTTTGAAAGGGATTGGAAGTAAGGACGCTGGGAGATCTTCCTAAGGAGGGGACGAGGCCAAGACTTGTGGACAGGAAAGTGCCCCAGAAATCGCAATGAGCTCGCTCTGAGGAAGGAGGGAGGAATCTTTTGAGTTGGGAATTCAAAGGAGCTGGTGAACTGACCGCAGCTCTGCTGTGTGCCGACACTGAGCCCTCTGTGGACAAGGTCCACAACACGAGACCTCGCGCAGGTTTACTGCTAGGAAAACAGGTGCCCCTTCCTTTTGTAAGCCGCATTCATTCATGCGCTGTGATGTGGTGTCTTGGCTTAAATGACTCAGCCCTGCCGCGGTAGTACGAAGGCAGCCACAGAGTGGGTAGCAGCTCCCCAGTCCACTGTAGCTCTGTCCTCACTGAGCTATGGTTTTATTTCCAAATAAATAACTTTTCTTGAGGGACACAATTCTACCCATATCAGTGGCCATCAGGGAATAAGGCCACACTTTTCAGCTATGTCCCATACTTCCTCACAGCTGAAGGCAGCAAGTCTCAGCTCGTGGTAGGAAGCGTTCGACACGGAGAACAGCCCTGTAAGAAGCGGGTCACCTGAAGGCTCACAGTCTGGTGCCTGTAAATATATCTAACTGCACTTAACTAGGGCAGGGGCTCTGGATTTGGACAGGACAGGGGTGACACTTAAACTCCTGATAGCGTTACCAGTAATCCTCTGAAAAGTGCTCTCCCTCTCCAAGTCTGTATTTGCTCACGTACTTCTGGGGGCGTTTAACAGCACTAACAAGCGAACTAGAACAGCGCCTGACACCCAGGACACCCTCTAATGCGTTAGTGAGTACTTAATGTACACGCACACAGAGTATTCATCTGGTCGTAAGGTGCTCCACAGCTGAAAAACAGGGCCCTTAACACTTAATAGTCATTGATTTGGGTTGAATTGTATTCCTTAAGAAAATTTATTTTTGAAGTCCTAGTCCCCAATACCTGAGAATATGGACCTTATATTATTATTGTTTTTGGGGGATCTATGCATGCACGTTAAATAATCACTAATACATTAAAAGATTTACTATGGTTTTTTCTGGCTACTTCAGGCTGCCTGAAGGGCTGTTTTGGTACGGCTCCTGGAGCTCAGAATCGAGCCGCGGTCCTATGCGCCTGCCTGCATTTATTCATGCGGCACTTTAAACAACTAAGCTATCCGGCAAAGCCCCAAAAGATTTACTATGAATAGGTGTGGTTATATGGACATTATGTACATCTAAAATGTACCAGTAAACTTAAAACATTTTTAAAAAAGTTTTTACAAACATGGAGCTGGCCCACAAGGCTTAGTTTATCATTCTAGTGAAGAATCTAGAACTTTCAGTTTACAAGAAACAAAGGGGGGGGGGGAATACAGTATATTAAATGTCACCACGGGATACAATCCGCAAAATGAAAACTACTGCCATTGAAGAACTATTCAGGATAGATCACTTTTATTTAGTTACTTATTTTGGTATTTTGAGACAGGGTTTTGCTATCCAGTTCAAGCTGGCCTTAAACTCACTTTGTAGCACAGGCTGGCTCCAAACTCACAACAATCCTCCTACCTGAGTACTGGGATTATAGGCGTGCACCACCATGCATAGCCCAGGACAGATTATCTTGTGTCTTGAAAAAAACAGAAACAAAAGTCTGGTGATATAGGTCAGCAGACTAAGCACCTGCCTGGCAAACGCAAAGACCGGGGATCGATCCTGGCACCATGCGCCAAACCGGCCCTTCCCTGAGGCGTGCTAAGACGGCCACGGAGTCCAGGGGTGGTGGCACATGCTGGTAGTCTCAGTGCTGGGGAGGCTAAAAGCAGGAGGATCACTATGAGTTCAAGCTGCGTAGTGAGACCTTCTACCAAATACATTAAAAAGAAAAACTAGAAAGAAATAAAAAATTGGAAAGAAAAGTCATATTCTTAACAAGCCATAAAAGTGCTACCAAGACATCAAAGTGCTTCAGCTTTATTTAAATACCAAGGCTAACAAGTTTTTTTTTAAAAATAGTATGAGTCACGGAAATGGACAGTAACATTAAAGCAGTGTTCTTTTAGATGTGACCATGGTGCCGTGTGGCTCTATTTTGAAGACTTCATGTCTTCAGAGACTTCTACTGAAACACAAATGGAATGATCTGATGTCTGCCTTCTGCTTCAAAGTGATCTGGGTGGGGAGTGGTGGGTCTGCGCGAGAAGAACGGCCACGAGGCGACTGTCGCTGGGGCTGGGTAACGGCTGGGCAGGGTTGCACCGCACTGCCCTCTTTACTTTTGCGTATGTTCAAAGCTTCCCATAATTATTTTAAAAAACATACCACACACGCCCCAGATTCAGTGGCAGAGATGGAAAAGAGAGGGACAGATAAATAAAACCGGATTTTGTTTGCTGAGGAGTGTTCATTCATTCATTCATTCATTCATTCATTCATTTTTTTTTTTTTTTGACGGCAGGCTGCACCGAGGACGGGATGTAACTTGTCTATGACAAAGAGCCAGACCGCGGCTGGGGACAGGATGTACCTGGGGAACCTGGTCTGGAAGGGACGCGACCTGTGGAGCACCACCAGGCTACCCGAGCAGAGCAACTCCTGCTGTTGCGTCCACGTAGGACAGGATGTAGGGAGGGCACAAACGTGGCTACTGACTTCCTCGCCACTGCAGTCTCATTGTTCTCATACGCTCCTGTCTCAGCAGGGGCCCATCCTGCTTTCAGACACAGCCCTTCTTTCCCTTTACTGTTTTACACCCTTCCTTCCTTCTCTTCATCTCTTCCCTTTTTTTGTTTCACATGATATAAAAGTTGCGTTGGACCACTCCATGGTTGTCCCAGCCAATTTTTTGGAGGGACCAAAAGCACCTGGAATCTTTGCACGCTGCGCTGTCAGACAATGGCAATACTTCGGGGCAATTACAAAGATTGTGCCAATGGGACTGAACGTGTTTATTCCTTAACATTCAAAAGAAAAACAAATTGTAGGGAATCAGAGGCCACCCTAATGCCCTAGGAACTACACTACCTTCCCAATGTGCATGGAAAGCAAGGAATTTCAAGTGTGTTGGGGCTGGGGTGAGGGTCTAGAGCACAGCCCTCGCTCACTCAATATCTTCCTCCTTGCAGCACAGTCTTGGATTTCTTCAGAGATGCCAGTGCTCACTTAGCAATATTCAGGCCTTCAGACCCCCTGGCAGCTAAGGGTAGCCATATAATCTAGTGCTGGCCGCTAAATTATAAATGCAAGTCTAAAGGTTAGGGATTCCAGAAAATATGAGTTCCTGAATTAAAATAAATAGACCCAGCCTGGGTACTCCAGCTTATTACTAGGTGGATGTAACTATAGTGCCTGGGGAAGTACTAGCTGCTTTATGACAAAAGGACAAAGGAACACAGCATGACAAAAGTTGGGGCACAAAACAAAAGGCCAAGAGAGAATGAACTTGGAACATTGCAGAGGCCACAGGCCTAGACCTGCACTTCATGTCAGAAAGGCCAGAGAAAATAAAGTACATGGTTAATCTACTGTAGCAAGGCTTTTGTTACACAAAGATGGACAAACACAATGAGTCATTAATATCCAAAATTATAATCGTTGGGCTGGGGAGACAGCTCTGCAGTCTAAGTCCCTGCCTGGAAAGCGCAAGGACCTGGGTTTGATCGCTGGTACCTCAAGCTGTGTTGGCCCTGGAATCCCAGACGCACCCTGTCGGCCATCAAAATCAGGCAGGATGGTACATGCCTGTAATCCCAGTGCTAGGGAGGCTGAGACAGGATGATCACTATGAGTCTGAGCTTCATAGCAAGACCCTGTACCAAATAAATAAAAACTAAACTGAACTGAACTGAACTCCTGATTCCCAAATCCTTATTCTCATCATTTTTCAGCACTCCATGAATGGCAAGATAAACCTCTGAGTCACTCACCAAGAATTTCAATTTCTCTTTTTCCTTCTCACTGTTTTCAGTCCATCAGCTCAGACTGCTGGGCCCTACTTTGGAAGCTCATCAGAATTGGAGCTGGAATAGCATATGTGTATCCGGAGTTGGAGCACTTCCAAGTAGCTGCGCGGCTACCAACCTAGTCTGGTCAACAGCATCTCTCCTGTGCTTTATTTCCGGCAATTTCTGCTTTCAGCCTCTGCCTATTATTTGCCTTTAATCTGAGGGCTCCTCTTAAAATATCAGCCAATCACATCAATGTTCTGTATACGTTCCTGTTTCCTTATCTCAAGCTACGTGAGATCTACGTCTTAGCAAAGAACTGTTGGCTCTTAAATCGCCCTCGCCCTCAACTGACCCAACTTTATCGCTCAGCTCCAGCAATTCTGGCCTTCTTAATCTTCCAGGAAGACATCCAGCAGGCTTCGGTTTCAGGTTGTCCTTCCTGCTCCTTGCTCTACTTAGCCATCTCTTCTTAAAGATGCTCTACTTAGCCATCTCTTCTTAAGGATGCCCCAGTGGCCCATCCCCTCACTTCCGACAGGGGTCTTTTCAAGTGTTACTTTCCAGAGACACCTTCCACATGACCCATTTGCTTGTTTACACTCAAATCCATTTCACATCATACTCACTCATCTTCTACCTTTCCTTGTGTCCCAGGCCCTGGTGTGTTCAGCCCTTGGAAGGCAAGAGACAGAAGACAAAGCAGGAGGAGAAAGGAACCCAAGGGATGCTTCCTCTTCAAGATGTATCTCTTATGTCCTAAATCCTGTTTAAACCATCGTGTCCTGACTCAGTCTTGTCAATATTTCTTCCCTAATGACCCCAATAAAATAGAACTTCACTCACCTCCTTCTTATGATACTTGCATAGCCTGCTTTATTTTTCCCTGTGGCTCTCATCAACACTGCAGAGGGTACTTGTCTATTTGTCTAACTACAGAACTCTCCCCTGGAAAATAAGCTTCAGGACAACATGACTTATCTATTTTGGTCTCTGCCAGACCCCAGTCTCTAGAATGGAAACAATGACAAGTGCTCACACCCTATTCTTCCATCTGCTTAAAAGGCTATTAATGGGCATTGCATGTTTCGGGCAGAACACAGTGAGAAAGACCTATGAACAGGATAAGCTCTGCTGTTCAGCTGATTAATGAGCTGACCATGGAGGGACTGGCAGTGAGGACGGGTCCCTCTTGGTCTTGGATGCATTTAATTATCTTATATTTGATTCCTAGTGCTTCCAAATGATATAGAAAGTTATTGGCATTCAATGGGAAGCTCACTGAAGAGGAGAAGTCAACTGTACTGCTTCACATGAGGCAGACCCCTACTGGGAAAGGAGTACTCACCTGATATGAAGTGGGATCTTGGGCACCTTCTTGGAGACTTTGAGCCGGCCTCGGTCCCCATAGATATCAGTGAAGTACACTCCAGCAACACCCGTCACCAGATTCCCAGGGAAACTGGACAGCACCTTGTCACAGCCATACTGACTAGCCCAGTGCCAGGCTTGGCCCCCGATGAGTAAGCCCCCGCCATGCTTTACAAATTGGATGAGCTTTTCGGTCAACTTGGCATTGTAGGCACTGATACAGTAAGCCCCCTGGGGCTCTCCGGGTTCCAGCATGGTCTGTGCCTTGACCCCAGCATCTTTCAGGAGACTCACGAGGGGTTCCAGGCATGGGTGCACCCCAATGGGGGCCTGAGGGGTGACACGGAGCCAGCCCACTGCATTGACAAGAAATGAAGCCAAGCCAGCATGCAACAAGTAACCCTCATGGGATATGACGACAAGGCGGCCCTGGCCATAGGAGGAGGCAGCAATGAGCACCTGGCCCTTGTCATTGACCATCACGGGGAACGAGGCCTCCCCAGTAAGAAGGAGCTCACTGGGGACAGGGCCTTCAGGAAGATCCCAGCTTGTCACTCCATCCATGAGGGCCTGGAACACATCAGAAGGTGTTGTCATGGTTCTATCAGTGGCTGCGGAGGAAAGCAAAGATTTCAACTGGTCAGTACAGATGTTTGGTGAGGACTGTTGGGTTCTGCAGAACACAGCAGCAGTTTTCTCCTCAGAGTCTTAACCTGAACATCCCCACATCTTTCTGGCTGGCCTTCTGTGGTTTCTGGGGGTCTTTTATGTTTGCTTATTTATGTATTGTTTGTGTATTTGGTAAAGGGTCTCACTACAGCTCGGACTTGGAGCAATCCTCTTGTTTCTAGCCTCCGCACTACTGGGATTATAGGCGTGCACCACCATGTCCAATCTCGATCAGCTCGGGGGTGGGGGGGCATGTGGTATCGGGCCTCGAACCCTGGTCCCTGCGCTTGCCTAAGCAGGTGCCTAGTCCGCTGAGCTCTCGCCAGCCCTTGGAGGTCTTTTAAAATCAGTACATAAAACTAATCTCACTGCAGTTTTCTCTTCAGAGTATTCTTTTTGGATAAATTACTTAGGCCTTGGTTATCTGATTTTGAAGATCAGCACAATACTTGTGCGATATACACTATTCAAAGGGGTAGAAGCCAGTGCCTGGCCCTCTACTGCCCTTTCTGGCTTCCCCAAGTGGCAGGGGCTGTGTAGTTGGTCCTGCCTCAAGCCATCTTTTGCCTTTCTGCGTGCTCAGAGGTCTTCGAGGTGGAATCCGCTTCCCTTGGCTTTTAAGGTCTCCCTGTCCTGCACTCCATTTACTACTTTTCTTTCCCTGCCACTTCCTCCAGGGCTGGGCATTCCTGAGCACGCCCACACTTCCCACGGAGTTCACCTCCTCTCCCAACTCCCGCTCCCACCTACCACCTCTTTCACAATATCGCTCCAGGAAATTGAATCCACGAGCGAACGCGTGGATGGCGGCAGCGCGGAGTTCAGGAGAGAGGAAGGGCAGCGAAGGAGAGAGATCAGGAAGTCTGAGCTCAGCATCCTGCTACCACTTCTGAGAAGATGAGCAATTTGACAGGAAAAACGAACAAAAACTCCAGAGGCGTCCGTCTGTCCCGGAACACCGAGCACAGCGCTCTGCAACCAACGCGCTTGTTTGCGAGTTCGGTCAAATTCCTGAGTCGAGTTCAAAGAAAAAGGTGAAATGTATTTGGAAGTGGCGGAGCGAGTAGCACCAGATAAAGAAAAGAAAGTTTAGACCTCTGAGAAGAGACCTCAGACCGCCTGGAAGGCGTCCGGCATCCTGCTGGCACCTTGGGGGACCCCACCCCATGATCTGCTGGGTGCTCTGCCAAGCACACTCACCCCTGGACGTGCGCGACTGAAAAACTCACAATTCGCCAGCAGGGGTCCCCGGGAACTTGCTTTGCAGGGGCGCAGCGAGGGTTTCCGGAGATGGGCGGGACCTTCCGAGGAGGGATCCGCCCGGGGCGGGCTGCCTGGGGGTGGGACTATTCAGGGGGGGCGGAGCCACCTGGGGCGGAGCCATCTGAGGCTGGCTGCTTGGGGGCGGAGCTACCTCAGGGGCTGCAATCAAGGGGCGGAGTTATCAGGGGCGGGACCACTTGGGGGCGGGGCTGACCAAGGCAGGGCTGTCCTCGAGTAGGGCGGGGCTACCCGGAGGGGACGCGCCCATGCCACTCCGAGGGGAGGTGGCGGGGGCGGGGCGTGGTGGTGGACCCGCTGTTTCCTGTTCACTTTCGTCCTCAACCTGGATGTGCGGCTTCACCTTACCTGAGTAAGTGTCTGTGAACATTGTCGCACTTGGCGAGAAAAGCACATTCCAGGTCTCCAATAAGTCAGATTCAGGAAAGAGGATGCCCTTAGGACAGTGGAACCCACCCAAGGCCGGGCTGGGTGCAGCGCTGAGAGCCCGCGGACCCGAGGCGAGCTACCCCCTGGTGGCCAGCGCCGGGCAATGCACCCAGGAAACCCCCGTGAAGACGGGTCTTGCAGGTTGCCCAGAATCTGCTGCAGAGGTGAGGAGCGCGTGACATTGCCTAGACAGACTTCCTCCGAGACTCAGCAAATGAAGCTACTGCTATAATATGGCTGCTGCTTTAATTTCTCCCTAATCGGTCAGAGAGTGAAAGTGAAGGAGGAAGGGGAGCTGACTTGCCGCAAATCTGCCTTTGTGCGGCTGTGCATAGAGGGAGGACATGGTATTTTTAGGTTTATGGTGTCTTTTTATAAGCGTTATTTAAAAGCAGCAGTGATTGGCTCGAAATATCCTCCCTGAAAGTTAACACGCATCGGAGTTCTCGCTCAAAGTCATTCCGCTGTTCTCTGTTGATGTAACAAGTCCTTCAGAGAACCGGCCACGGTGCCTTCGAGGCATCAGATGCCTGGGATCCTGCCTTGGGCAACGCTCGGCCCTGCTGGGTCCGCCAGCATCAGCCCACCCCGTGCTTCCTCTTCTCCCCAGCACTCCACCCCGTGGATTTCTTCGTTTTCTTAAAGTTTATGCACTGCACATCCCTCCCGCCGATCAAATGAAATGTCCTCTAGAACACTTACTCTTTTGTTTTCTAGGCTCAGTCATCATTTTCCTAGGAGTGACTTCTCAGACCTGTGCACTATACCAAACCCTGGTGGTGACTCTCAGAACCCCTGCTTCTTGGTTCCTCTCCTTGTGTAATTGTACGTTTATCTGTGTAATTGTTGGTTTGCATTGCCTTCATTCATCAAACTGCAGTGTCAGAAGTCCGCTCTGCCTGTGTTTTAGTCACTGGCGCTTATGGCCTGCTTTTCTTTCTGCACATAGTTGGCTTAGTTTCTTAATAAATACAGACAAATATGTGGAACTGATACATATGTAGTGACTGTCCAAAAGATTCCTCTTGAATTAGTGAGTATATAACTGACTCTTCAAAAACTTGTCAAATAGCCCGATGCATTCAGGTCTCGGAAAGAACAAGCCAGGAGAAACCTGCCCAGAGAAGACACTTTGGGATGCACCCTGCCAGCGTACTGCAGGCTTGGAATCTAAAGCCAGTCAAGTAATTGGAGTTCTTAGGCTGTGTGCCAGGAAAAAGCTGAGCTGAGGGAAGGGAGATAAGAGACAGACCCCAGGAAGTGGGTCAGGAAGGCTCCCTGCGGAAAGCTGAGCCTGGCAGCTCTTTTATGTTCCGGGGCTCTTAGATTTTAGCTCGTCTCTACTTTTATCAACCTTGCTGTTACGGTAGTGTGTTGCTTCTGTTATAGGACTTTGAGCACTTACCTCCAGATCAGAGTGCAGGAGTAGGTGTGGCAGTGCCAGGATAGGTGTCATCTGGGAGACCACTGGGATGGGGTGGGATGGGGTGGGAAGGGGTGACATGTCAAAGAAGATG